CCCCCCCCCCCCCCCCCTTAAGTAGATCAGTTCTGCATTTGACATTTACATGGAATTCATTTGCATCTCATTTGTACATGTTTCTGCTCAATAGGTAGAATGTAAGAAAGCACAACCTAAAGAAGTGATGTTTCCACCAGGGACGAGAGGAAGGGCACGTGGATTACCGTATACCATGGACGCTTTTATGCTAGGGATGGGAATGTTGGGTAAGTGCCGGAGCCACCACACACCTCCCGGAGCCAGCGGCTCCCGCGTCTCCCTCCTTTCTGAACACTTGAGCCGTAGGGCTGAGCAAATCCCAGCACCTGTGTGGGTGCGAGTCTAAAACTTTAACAGGGGTGGAGTGGGGAAAATAATCCTGTCTGTGGTAAATGATTAACACACACACACACACACACACACACCCCCTTCCTGGAATATAAAAATTTGCATTTAAATGGATGTTTTAAATAGCCTGTTTTACTCTTGGTCGCGAAAAATAGAATGATGAAAGATGCCGTGTGTTCATTCTGACTAAAAATGATCTCTCCCCTTTTTTAGAGGAATTGAGTCACACATTATTCCCCTTCTTTTAAAGGTATCTTTGACAGTTCAGCATAGATAATTGAAAATCTTGCCGGTTCTTAAATGGCATGCAAGATGGAGAAAGCAGGGAGATGCGTAACAGTATAGGTCGCAACAATAATTACAAGTTTCAAGGAGATGGAATGGTATTTTAGTCCAGAGTATTGTGTCCAGAAAATACTAATTAAATGGGATAAATGATATTTAATGGCAAAATTCTATTTGTGCACGAGGTCTATTTAGTTATAATTGGTTCTCATTTGTTTCTGCCCAGATAGTTCTTCTTTCTGTGTAACGTGACAACCTCTTGATACTCTGTCCTCAGATTTACGAAGCCAAAATGCTGCTAATCCGTTGCCAATGTATTTTTGTAAAAACCCATACATTTTCAACTTGCTGCTCCCTTTGTATCCCTGGACTTCCCCTCAGTTGTCACCTCCCGTGTCCATAAAGCGTGCGTGACCAAGAGGGCACCTGGAGGTGTTCCCTAGTACGTGGCCTCTCTGGGATGCTTTAAATTTTCTGTCCTGGGTTTAGATGCTCCCAGAAACTGAGCACAAAAAAAAAACCCAGTGTAAAAGCTGGTGCTGGGCTGTCCTGAGCTCTGCCAAGCAGGGCCACGGGCTGTGTGAGACACTGGAGGGCCCCAGGGCTGTGGGAGTGGGTGCTGGGTCAGAGGACTCGGTTCCTACGAGTATCAGGCTGTTGCACCGAGATGTCTGACTTCAGGCCCTGCTTGATTTGAGAGGGAAAACTTCCCTGCCATGTTTGCTTTATCTCTGAATTAATAGTACTTCTGTTTGCGTGGCTGGAACAATCCATTTCTGGGATGTGTAATGCGGTTATTTCAGCCGATCATCTATTTTTCTGTCCCCACACTCCACCGCCACCCTGCCCCATAGTGTTTGGAAATTACATTTTATGGTTAAAATATTTATCTTGTTCTAGTCAGTCTGTGATTTCGTTACTTGTATGTTCCCAGCGTGCTTGAGCATGTGTACTTTATTTCTGTTGTTTCTCTTTCTTTTCCGCTTACGGTGCCTGAGGTTTGGGGTGGTGGAGGTGGTGCCTCCCTCCTCCTCCTCCTCCTCCTCCTGGCTGCTGGAGGAGAGAGCCCAGCTCACCCTGCGTAGGCAAAAAGACCCGGGGCAGCATCTCTCTCCTGCTCGCCACGGGCAGAGTTACCTCAACCCTTCTCCTCGCAGCCGGGCAAGGAGCGAAGGGAGCTGGAGGACAATTCATGACCTGGAGGGACAATTCAGCCTTCAGCTGTGGTGTGAGTCGTTCCCACCGGGGCTGCCTCTCTGGAAAATAATGGTTTCAAGCCGTAAGAAGTTAAGGGGAGAAACACACAGCGAGCAGATCTGCTTCTGGGCCGCAGGTGCCTCTTGGCAAATCCCCGTCCGGCGGCAGTGGGGTGGGTCGGTCGCCCCGACCGGCTCTGCTCCGTCCGCTCTCGCAACGTGCTCTGATTAGATTTCAAATCAGGGTGACTTGCTCAGAATTAATGATTGATTCGTCTTGAAGGCCAGATGCTTCATTATCTGCTCTAGCTGGTTTTTTCATCTTCCAAGTTCCTGCTTCCTACAGTGGCACCGCGTTAAATAATTAAGTGCTAAACAAGGAAATTGCAACACATGAGAGCGAAGCTGTCTGGATGGCCGTTATAAATCCCCCTTTTCAAAGGCTGCCTGGAAGTGTTGGCTTCAAGGCTGGGAAGGGGGTCGCTGGGCAGCAGCTCAGCGGGAGCCCGAGCCTCTCCTTCCCAAAGCCCAGCAGCTGCTCACTCATGATGGGGCCCCGTCCCCGCAGGGAGAGGGGCATAATTAACCCATCAAACGACGAGGCGCGCGGAGTAACGTGCTGCCGGAGGCAGCGTCTGCGGTAGCCGAGCGTTTTGCCGAGATCCCGGGAGGCCCGTGTCAGCTCTGCCCCGTTCCTCCTCTCAGATGCCTGGCTGGACTGAAACAGAGCGGTTGGGGCTGCTTTTGAAGGAATTTTGTACCTGTTTCCAGAAGTCCTTGTTCAAGGTCACCTTCTCCAGATGCCGTCCGTGGGCAGAGGAGGGAATCGGAGGGATGAACGCACGAGACAACCCAAAGGAAAGAGCGGGGAGCGACTCCCTCCAAAGCTATTAAGGAAGTTGGTCTTTTTCATTAATCACAGCCTCCCCGAGGAGCCTGCAGCAGCCGGGGTCTAAAGGTGCATAGGCAGCCGCTTCTGTGCTGATTTGGTTGATTGGAACAAAATTAAAGTGTTCTTCCGAAAGGATTTTTTGTCTCCGAGAGTGTGGGCAGGCTGAGCCTTCTGCCAGGACCGTTTCTGGGCTGTCTGGGGCTCGGTCTGCTGGTGGGACACGCGCAGGCTCGAGGGACGTTGGGAACATTAATTAGTCACTCTGCATAAAGGGCCCGAGTGGTTCCAGTTCTGGTGCTCTCTCCCTCCCTGGCAGCCCACCCGTGGCAAGAGCCGCTCCCCAGCCCCGTGGGTGCTCGTGAGGGGGCACCGTGTCCCCCCTCGCAGCCATCACACACGTCTGCAGCAGCGTGGGAGCAGTTGGGTGGCCAAGAAGCTTTGTCACACACCCGGGAGCTTCCCCGCCATCACCAGGAGCCCCGTCAGCCAAGGGCGAGTGAGTGTCACCGCCTTGTCCCAGGGCGTTTGGGTCTGTACCTGAAAACTTGGGGAAAAAAAAAAGAAGAATGCAACGGAGGAGCAACTCGGGGCGCCTGGGACGTGGCTGGTCCCGGTGGGAGGTAGCAGCTGCGCGGCTTGATGTGAGCTGGGGGCCCGCAGCACTCACGTCTTCCAGCGGTGGTGTTTAATAGTCAGGTTGGGCTCTTTCTATCCTGAAAACCTTCCCTCCAGAGACAGGAGTGTTCGGCCCACATGGCTTCCACCCCCAGCCTGCCGACATGGTGCCTGACAAGGGCACTGGGCTCCAGAAGGTCTCTGACAGGCCGCTCCTGTCCCCGCGCGAGGCAGAGCCGGGCTCTGCGTTCCTGCACACGTTCAGTCTAGGTAGGCTGAACTCACGCATGAAAGAAGCTTGTGTCCTTCAAAGAAAGTCATTCCTTTTTTCCATCAGGCTCTGTTTAATAGAGTAGCAGCTGCCTCTGAGGCGGGATCCGGGAAGAGGAGCCCTTCGTCAGCGCAGGCTTCCCGGGAGGCTGGCCCAGCTCCCCGGCCCCCGCGGGCTCCCGCAGCAGCACCCGCCGTAGCCATCACGACCGGCCTGCGCTGAGCTCCTCCGTTCCCTTGGAGTAGGAGAGAGCTCAACTTCGTGTGACCCAGGGAGAAGCTTCTACATCCCTGCTGCTCCCTAGTGCGTGACCACCCCGCGTGTCTGTAGGAGATGATTTCTGGTCTGCATTCCCTCATGCCACAGGTGCCCATGTCAAGGTCACAGCACGTTTCGTTTGAGAAAGACCCTGAGCGTTGTTGTTGCAGCATGGGGCTGTGCTTCAGCAGAAGGACCGTGTCTTTCCTTGCGAGGGACCTGGCATTCCTTGCTCTGAGCAACACTGGGAGACAATAATTTTCGTGCATTTACTGGAGCACTGGGATTAATTTTGCAGAGGTCCCCAGGCTTCAGTGTGCTCCGTGTTCCTGCGTATTACCCGTGAGCTTTGTCCGTCTCAAATCACCAAGTTTAAAAATGAAAAGACAATTCCATGGCCTGGTTCGGGGGCTCTGGACACTTCCCCGCTGGGAGCAGAGAAGCCGTTTCTCCCTCTTGGAGGTGGTGGTGGATGGAGGGGAGTCAGGAGGCTGGCTCAGGTCTCCTGCCTTTCCAGTGACCCTGTGCGAGCTGCTGGGTCTCCAGGGCCGCGGTTCCCCTGCGCAGGACTGGAGGGAGCAGCTTTAGCTGAGGCTTTAGCCCCAGAGATGCTGTGACGCCCTTGGTCACGCTGGAGGTCACAGGTCAGTGTTAGCGGTCTGTTGTTTCTTCGTGCTGGAAGCAGAGCCTTTGCCTCCCCCCGGGAGATCGTCCCTGCACCACGCGGCTGTTCGCGTGGTGCTCGTGGTGACAGCGGGCTCCGTGGCCGTCAGGAGGGCAGCGTGGTGCTGCCAGCAGCCATCGCTCTCGCCTCACCCGCCAGCACCGCGCCTAGCGCCGGGCAGGATCTGCTCCGCTGCGAGATGGGGCTCTGGGGGGACTGGCAGGTCACCGGCCCGCGGGGTGGGTGCTCGGACCTGCTGCCGTCGCTGCCCGAGACACGAGGTGGGTGGAGGCGGTGCCGCGGGAGCGTTCTGGGCTGTCGGTTTGAGTTCTGCTGCCACGGACAGGAGGGTCTCGCTCCGGAGGAGGCGATCCAGGCAAAACTTGGATTTTTGGTTTAGCAACAAGGGATAATTAGAGAGACTGATCATTCCCCAGGACCACTGAAGCAAATAAACCGCTTGGTGCCCAGTGCAGGATGCGAATGGCATCTAATGGAAATGGTGGGTAGGTCAGCGTGGCCATAATTTGGCTTGATGAAGCATCCACATGGGCACGGTGTTAATGCGCTATTGATATTCAGCCAGGCAATTTCCCCTGCGCGGATCGGGCTTGGACTCGTTAGAGCAGAGCTGGGCACTGCAGCGGTAAATGAAGAGGAAAATTGAAGTAATGTTGTATTATAAATTTATGATTTCATCTGCCTGACCTAGAGAGCGTCGAGCGCCGTCGATGCAGGCGAGGGCCCCCCAGGCAGCTCTGCTGGTGCCGCTGCCGCCGGGCTTGGCCGAGGAGAGCGGGGCTGCCCTGGGTTCGGAGGCAAACGCACCGCGACGGGAGCATCCCCGGCCCCACAGAGGTCCCAAGTGGAAGAGATGGCGTCCTGCACCACACTGCCAGCTCCAAAACCACCCCGGGCAGCTGCCAGCCCCCGCCGGGCCGGGGCCGCGGGCACCACACCGGCAGCCCCCGCTCCCCAGGGCCCAGCACGCCGGTCCCCCGCGGACCAGGCAGTCACAGCCTGACGGATCTGCTTCGGAGTCCTTGGAATTGGAATAAAACTTGATTTTTTCCACTTGGTGAGGAGAGGGGCTGCGGCCAGACGCCGCGGAGCGATTTTTCATGGCAGAGCTCGCAGCGCTGTTAATGGCGTTACTTACTTAGCAAACAATCCATTTATCAATATTGTTGGGGGTTTTTTTAAAAAAAAAAGGAAAAATGGTTTGTAAAGCTTAACTCTGAAAGATCTGATTTAATGACAGAGGTGATTAATTTCTAAGGGAATCCAGCTGTTGAGCTGTGAAATAAATACACCAGGGCTAAGCGGTGTGTACATATCGCTGAAAGCTGCAACGCGTTGTCCGGGGATCACAGGGCTGCTTTCCCCCGGCACTGTTTAATCCTGTAATCAAAATTCATCCAAGCATTTTTATCTTCCAGTTTTAGATTATGATTAATAGTACATTATATGTGTATATATAAATCTCATCAGAAATAAGAGAGACTTGCTGCGGCAGAAAAAATAGCTGTACGATGTGTGAGTGTATTGAAGAATAAATAAAAGCAGAGATTAGAGACCCCCAGAAGAACCCTCTGGCTGCTCAACATGTTCTGGGGGTCCGGCCCAGCTGCTGCTTCATCACTGCCCAGATTTCCACTGTCTTCAGATGGAGGGAGAGCAAACTTTCTGTGATGGTTTCTTGGTCTGGAGAGGGCGAGCCTGGATCCTGGAGGGGTCTGGGCTGACGCCGCCGGTCACCGGGAGCGTAACGCAGCATTTACTGCGCTGGAGTTGCTAAGGGTGGTTCCTGGGCTTAGGAAAAACGGAGCAAGGAGGTGCTGAGGATTGGACGTGAGGTTACGTCCAGTCTGAGGAAACCTCCTTAGTGTAGGGGACGGCTTGTGGCAGCACCGGGACAGCCGCGGTGGGACCAGAGGGGGGGCTGGTTTGCCTGAGTTAAAACACGGGGTGGGGGTCACAGTGTGTGACCCCTTGGCTGCTGCCAGCCCGCGTGCCTTTCGGGACTGGTGTGACCCCCGGGAGGCAGCAAACCTTCTGGGGACCCTCTGCCCGCGTGTCGGACCTCGCCGCCCGTGAGGCCGCCCTGGGCCGAGCACCCCCGGCACCCGCCGCGCTCACAGGGCTCTGCCCCCTCACCGCCACGGCCTGTCGCTGCCAGCGCGGCGGCAGAGCGGGCAGGGCCCCCTTCCTGCCTTTATTGAGGCATCTTTATTAACAACGTGGTCTCGAGTGGTTATTTTTCTCATAATAAAACTTCAAAAGCTGCCTGAGGTTGGATGCATTTCTCAGAAATTGCTTGAGGAAGAGGTTCTCATAGCTGGGCTTTACTTTCCTGAAAAATTAAAAGCTCTTTGACTCTCTGGCTCATTGCTGTTGCTGCCTCTAACTCTTTGATGTGTTAACTGTTGTCCTTCACACTCCCGGGATAAAGAATTACTACTACCTTAATCTCCAACTGTCAATAGCTCTGAAGCAAAGTACATTCATTGTAAGCTCTCCAAATGTCAGAGCAAACCTGTGTTATGTGTTTAGCCTTAGCATTTGGCATTTACTCTTCCAGCTAACAAGTATGCACAGTCCTTGGACTTCAGCTACCAAAGTGCATGTTAATTACCCGAGTGACAGGTCTTCTGCACAAAGCCCGGCGGGCGAGGGAGCGGGGAAGCTGCCCGGCTCTAGATGTTTCTATCCAGGATAATAATGAAACCTTCCTGCAGTTCTGCACAAGCGGAATAGATCTTATTTTTTAAGATAAAATCAAGTCTCGCCCATCCTCTATGTCATTTTGCGTTGTGTTTAAAAACAAAAAAGCCTTTATTAATCTTGAAACTTCTCTTTCTCTCTCTCTCTCTCTCTTTTTTACGTTTCTGTGGTCAAGGTTACCCGAATTTTGTTGCAACGTATGGCCGAGGATATCCTGGATTTGCCCCAAGTTACAGCTATCAGTTCCCAGGTACGTACATTTCATTTGCAGATTTACTTTTTTTCCCCTCTTTCCTTCTTTATTTTTCTTTTCCTTTTTTTTTTTTTTTTTTT